GTGTAGTCATGGCTGTACTGAGTACTGGGATTAAAGTCATATGCCACCCCAACCACCCATCCCAGGCCCATTTTCTTTTTATAGTAGTGAAGCCATCAAATCATCTTTGGAGAAGAATTTCTTTGTTTTGTGAAAATCACCAGAATGGACCTTTTAAATTACATAGGTGTTCAGTAAATAACTCCTTGTTGCTTTTGGAGAAAATTGAAGTCTCTGGTAAACAGACAACTTTTGCTTAGAAGTGTAAGCTGGCTTTATTGCTCGTTGTTTTTGCTTTGTTGTTATTGTTTTCCAGATCAGAGCAGAAAAGTATATGTATATATACTTTTTTTTTCTGTATATATACAGAAAAGTATATGTATATCTGGAATATGGATTTAGGACCAACCTTTCCTTCCTAAGTCATTGATTTAAGGACAAAAAAGAAATAAGGGAGGGAAGGCGGGCAGGAGGTGGCAGGGAGGAAAGGAGAAGGAGAGGGAAGGAGGAAGGGAAGGAGAGAGGCTGAAATATGGCAATAAGGTTACATAGACCTTATCCTTGTCTGGAGATGAAGTATGTAAAAGGGACTCAGAGGGAGCTGGGCTGTGGAGCACTGGGTGAGACCGCTGGTATCTTCCACATGGTTTTAAGACTTAGCAGCTCAGACCTGGGAAAAATATCGCTAATGCATTATCATTGACTTGTCTAAACAAAGATGGGAATCTCCACAGCCAATTTCATTGTTGTAATGGCTTTCTGTCTCTCTCTTCTGTCTGTCTGTTGGTCTGATTCCTCTCTTATCACAACCCTTAGGTTTTTGGTTGAGAGTATAGAGATGTCTGGAGAGTTCTGCTGTTGGGGGGTGGGGGTGGGAACTGGTCACTGTATATTGGGTATTCCAATAGTTGCTGGCATCCATATTATATTTGTTTTTGTTTTTGTTTTTTCATACCCAAATCTCTAGGCATGGTGACAGTGAATGCCTTCAATCCCAGCACTTTGGAGACAGAGGCAAGTGGATTTTTGTGAGTTGGAGGCAAGTTTGGTCTACATAGTGAGTTCCAGGACAGCCAGAGCTATACAGTGAGACACTGTCTCAAAAACAAAAACAACAATAACAAAAATCTGCAGCACATTATTGTCAATTGATCAATCATTCAATCATTTTTTTGTGGTTCTGCGGCTCAAACCCAATTCCTTATACATGTTACACAAGTACTGTATTGTTGAACTATATAGTTCAAGCCCTTAACTGCCTTATTCCAGCAATAGCTTGAAGAGAAAGCTCAGAGTCCATTTTTGTGAGAGACACTAATAGGTCAGAATGACATTCTGGAGAAGCAGTTTCCAGATGACAGGAGTGATCCTCTGGACCCAGTGATAGCAAAAGATCATAAGGACTGAATCAGTGGAACAAGTAATGGCCACATGGGAGGCCAATCCCATGGAAAAGCAGGCTCCTGAGAGGTTGTGGCCTGCAGGTGTGTGGTGTCTTATTGGCTATTCAAGATGTGGCCTTATTGTGAGCTTCTGTAGCCTGTGGGCCACTGTCTGTTCCTTCCTTCGTTATTCACTCCACAACAATTTATTGGCTCTTGATCCCATGCTGGAGGAAGGCTAGCTGCAAAGGTACAATGATGATTAACAGTCTGTCCTCAAGGACGAAACTACAGGGAGTTAAATATTAACAGATCTAGTGGTAAAAAAAAAAAAAAAGGAGAGAGAAGAAGCAGCAGTGGAAAAAAATAGATGGAAACACGTGCTTCCTTAAACATTTTAAACACCTCTAAAATGAAAAACAATAAAAGAGGAAAAGAAAGAAAACAAGAGATGGGAGAATTTCCTTGAAGGGAGTTTGACAAGTGAAGCAATGGCATTTTGAATTTGTCAGGTTTCAGAGAGAGCAGAAGCTAACAGCGATTGCTAGGGAACAAAAGGGCATCAAGAGCATGCAAAGAAGGAAACAGTCACCTACAAGGGCTCCGGTAGTAATTACATAAACTCGCACAGAAAGCAACAACAAAGCCATGTCTTACATTTAACACGCCTAAGGATATGTCATAAAGTTAGGAAGAAGCTACGGAAAAACACTGAGGCATGAGCACTGCCAAAACAGATCAGTGCAATATAGTAATCAAGACTATGACAATATAAATGCCTTGTTCCAACTAAGAGTAAGTCAGATTTCTGGCTCAGTACTATAGCAGCTACCATCTAGGGTGCTCTGCTTGCAGCAGGTACTTTTCCTTTGGGGAGGTTTAAGCACTAGTCCAGTGCTTAAACTGGGCTCACGATCTTAATCAGCCAAGCTAGTCACCACCTCCCCAGCCCTCTTCGCATGTTTTTGAGACAGTTTCACTGAGGCAGACCTTGAACTCGTGATCTTCTTGCCTCAGCCTTCTGAGCATGATAGATCTACACCATTAGGCCAGGGTTATATTTTCTGTACATGAACATATGTGTGTATGATATGACTTCTTCACAGCAGATGTGAAAGTAGAACTTTCATTATCCCCAGTTTACACTGGAGGAAACTGAAGTCCATGAAGGTTGAATAATTATTTTAAATCACATGGCCAGTCAAGGAAAGAGCTAGAATTTGAAGCTTATGGATTCATTACTGCTGTACTGACTTACTTCTGTAGAAGAAAAGACTATAAAAATTCTGGTAGCATCAGCACTTGTATTTTTTAAAAACAACTTATTTAACTTTTATTTTATGTCAGAAGGTGTCAGATCCCTTGGAATTGGCATTACAGACAGTTGCGGGCTGCCATTGGGTGCTGGGAATTGAACCCGGGGCCTTTGGAAGAGCAGACAGTGCTCTTAACCCCTAAGCCATCTCTTCAGCCCCTGCATCAGCATTTACATTGTAAAAAAGAAAGCATGTGAGGACCACATGTGTTTATAGTACAAATGGTTAAATGGGTCATGATTTATTCGTTCCATAAGTAAAAGTTGTTCAGTCACAGTTAAGTTAATCTTTCTTTCTCCTGGCTGCCAGAATATGGACCATACATTTCTCAAAATCGTTACCTGTCCTTTTGGCTCTTCTCTAGGTTTCTATGTATTTGAGTAGTTATGAGTGTTGGGAGGTCCTGCCCCAAGTGGACAGGTCACTTGTTCTGCTACAGTTGCCTGTGACTTCGTATAGTACGTCATCCTGAAGAGTGCTGAATGAAAGGTCTTTAGAAGGATAAGGTACTATCTTCCCGAAATACTTACACATGCTTTTATGACCTCATATTTCCACTCTTATCTGTTACCAAGCATATTTCTTACAAAGGCCTGTGGAGATTTAAGTAGATTTCTTGCTGTATCTAAGAATTTGTGTATCTAAGAATTTGTATTCTAAGCATTAAGACTGAAGTATCAGAAACTACAAGTAATTCTCATGTAGGAGCAAAGCGAAACAAGGGAGGAAACCCATGTAAGTGAGTAGGTTAGCATACCATCTTCCTGTATCTTTCCCATGAAGTCTACCCCAGTTATTAGATGTCTACCATGTGCCAAGAACTATGGCAAACTTGCTAGGTAATTTATTGCTTTTTTAATGTAGACAGCCCTGTAAGAGAACACAGAAGCTTGAGAAGTTGAGCAATTTGCCTCAGAACTTAACCCAGATCTGTCTGAGTCTAAAGGTCAGCTGTCAATCTTAAGCACACTGCTTCCTTCCTCTCCTTTCCCCTGAAAAAAGGCTGAGGTATTTCTCTAATGTTTAGTTCTATGACAGTTCTAGCTTTGTGACTACAAATAGCATTATTGCCAGTTGCCTTGGAAATGAATTTTATTATAATTAAAGCTAGGCATGGCTTACAGTATTGAACATTTAGTTCCTTATAGAGAAACCTGCCATGCTGATACAATAAGGAAGAAAACCAGTAAGAGAGGAAGAAAGTAGAAAATAGAACACCCCCTCAAAAAATTCACATTCATTTTTACCACAGATATCTTTCTGGAAAAGGAATGCTGTATACAAGAAAGAATGTGGGTTTTGTTTGTTTGGTTGGTTTTTATTTTGTTTTTGAGACAGGGCTTCTCTGTGTAGCCTTCCTTGGCTGTCCTGTATCTCACTCTGTAGACCAGGCTGGCCTCAGATTCAAAGAGATCGTCTTGCCTCTGCCTCCCAAGTGCTGGGTACAGGAAAGAATGAATGCCAATAGGAATGAATCTTTGAAATTACCTAGCTACCTTCTTCATTCAATTGCAAATCTTCTACAGGTATCCCACTTTTCCCTTTTTCCATTGGTTTAATCATGTAAAATGCAACCGTACCTGTAAGTCTGTCACCCACACTAAACACTTAACTCAAGACAGACTCTGGTTCCCCAGTGGTAAGTCCTGCCATTTGTCACCAAGCTCTGTCATGAGTAGCTTCCCATCTTTCACTTCTCTGCCCCTCCTCTTTTCTTTTGAGACAGGGTCATACTATGAAGCTGAGAACAACCTCAAACTTGGGGTCCTCCTGCCTGGGCCTACAGAGTGCTGGGCTCACAGATGCGTGCTTGAACTTGAGAATTGCAGAGAATGCTTACAAATACATCGGATTGTTGAAGCCATGGTAACAAGTAGCCGCCACAACTGATTTGAGTCCTGTTCAACTGAACAACTCACACAGTTTCACGAGGCAACCTCACTGTGGCTCCGTCACTTCTGAAAGGCAGCCAGAGAGGAACAGATACTCCCCAGTAAGCGTGCCTGTGGGTGTTACACAATCAACAGTGGTTTCACCTGAGCAGCCACACTTCAAGAGATGACGCCAACCTACTTACAATTACGAGAGGCGACTGATTCCCAAACCCCAGGCTTCCTCAGAATGCAAATCCGCTCAGCCATTTGTTCTGCTTGGATGGACTGTGCCCAACTCACATCTCTCACTGTGACAAGCAACAGCTGCCTTTTCCTTTAAGATATTGCATAATGGTCTCTTTATCTCTTGACAGTTACGGAGATTCTCTTTCCGAGATCGTTTTGAATCCTCTTTAGTTGCTGGCATTGCAGATAACCATTAGGTCAGCAGCTGCTCTTGCTGGGCAGCCTGTGCCCAAATTCTGCTTACTCTTGAGGTGTGCTGGCAAGTGATCTAGGCTCAATTGAAATCTAATCTCTGCTGTTTCGGTGAGTTCTTGCTGCCAAACTCATTTTGTTATTCTAGGATTTGTAGACAAACAGGCCTTTGTTTAGATTTGAGTTTTGTATAAAGCTACCAGACTGTTTTGGGTTAATGGTGCACCATTCGGTCAATAATTAGACCAAGGTCTTTGTGGAAGGCAAGCAGAACAGAGCTTTCATTTTGGAGGTGAGCCGCTTGGTGACTTTTAGATGATTAACCTACTTCCTGCTTGCTGTCTCACCTTGGCTCCTGTCTGTCTCTCCACACACTCTTCACACGTTTTGTTTTCTTTTGTTTGTTTCTTCGTGGTATATAAGGGAGCGTTCTATGAGGAACATGTGGAAGTATGAGCCTGATAACTCTCTAAGCCAAACAAGCAAGCCTTGGATGATGAAAGTCATTAGACCAGTGACCAATTGCTAAGAAAGGGGAGGGGTCTTGGTCTGGGGCCAACCATTACACCTCCAATGAAGGCTTCTTTTTATCTGGTAATTTAGGAAGAAATCTCCAAGCTCCCTTTCCTTTACACATCCCAGAAGTCAAGGGTCATCAGGTTGGCATCTGTATGGTGTTGGGAACAAGCAAAAGAAAGTTATTCTAGGTACTACCATCCCATTTTCAGACTCCATTTAATCATAGGGAAAAACCAAATTTAAGATCCTAGGCCCTAGGGGAACTGGGAACTTCCCAATAGCTGAACAGCTTCTGTTGTAAGGAAACAGTTATCTGAGTCCAGATACTTCAGGGACAGCTTGTAAGGAGACAGTTGTCTGAGTCCATCCATCTCTAGGACAACTTCTCCATCTTGCTGTCAGGGTCAAACAAGTTCATGTTCTCAGGCCCAGAGACCTACTACTACCCTAATTGATGGAAACTCCCTTGGTCAACTCCTTATGTCAAAATATGATTGGACAATGCTACATCCCACCCTGCTCCCCTCTGCTCTATGGTTTTCACCCTTTAAATACGCCATACAGCTTCCCTTTGGGACATGGTTCAGATCCCGAATTGGCCACCTCCTTGAGCTCAGAAAATAAAGCTTGTGTAAGCTTCTATATCTGAAGTGAGTTCTCTCTGCTTCCACCCCAAACCCAACATGTGATACCTTTATGTCTCTGTCTCGGCAGTTCTCAACCAGTGGGCTGCAACCCTTCAAACGACCCCTTCGTGGGTGTCACAGATCAGATAGCACGAATACCAGATATTTACATATGTGCCATGACAATAGCAGCATTACAGTTATGAAGTATCAATAAAAATAATATTATGGTTGTGAGTCATCAGGGACCGTATTAAAGGGCCACAGCTCTAGCTGGTTGAGGCTCCTCCTCCTAAACCTCACGCTGTAAAGTGACCATGGTGCACTCTTTTCTTCATGGGTTAAAGGTTTGTTCATGCCAGCATGTCTCCTTTTTCCTGAAGGAGCCTCTGTTTCCCTTACAATGTACCCTAGTTCAAGGGCTAGAGCTTAGTCCAGTGCTAGGGCATTTGTCTTGAAGATATTGTGACTTACATTCAAGTTGTATTATTACTTGAAGAAAAGATGTACTATAATTGTACATGGCGAAAGAAAAATTGATTTGGAATAATAATACATTTGATATATAGGTACATATTTAAGTTGATATCTTTAAGGGGAAAGAAATAAACAAAAACAGGAGGAAAAACACCAGTCAATGATCCTCTTCGAAGAATGGTACTGTCCTTTGAAGAACAACAGTTTTTCTCTTGTTCTACTCAGCTTTTTCTGACCTTCTAAATCAGCCATGCTTTTTCTGGATAATAACAATTATATTGTCATTTTTTTTTTTTTTAGGTCACAGGCTAAATTAAAAAATTTCATCCAGAATTACATAATAGCTGTAATTAAGAATTTTCCTAAATGAGGAGCTGGAGAGAAGGCTCGGTAGCTAAGAGCACCTGCTGCTCTTTCAGAGGACTCAGGTATGGGTCCCAGCACCCACACTGAGTGGCTTACTATGGAATGTAACTAAACTTACAGGGACTCTGATGCCTTCTCTGGCCTCTGCAGGCATAAGCACACACATGGTACACATACAGACAAACAGGCGCACACACACACACACACACACGTACACAAACAGATAAAAAAAAAAAAAAGACTTTTCCTAAGTGGTCAGAATTCAAGAGGAAAATTGTTACATAATATGTATTTTCTTATCTATTTGGTTTCTTTTTCTTTAAGAAATGTATTTATGTGAACACAGGAGATGGGATTTCTATTCTCTCGAAACTGGGGGCCTGTGAACATAGATATTTGTCCCTGTTGCATATACAAGGGTAGTAGAAGGACAGGTCTGTTCTCCACTAGTGTAGTCGATAGATCCATTGACGGAGAGACCAGCCGCCGTCTGCAGCACAGCTTCTGCGACTTGAGTAAGCAGAGGTTACTTTACGTACAGGCAGACAAAACATCCGGCCAAAGGCTTACGTCAAGTCCCAGACCAACCTGGGTTACACGGCGAAACCCCATCTCAAAACAAAAAAAACCTTAAAAACGAATTTATCTACAATGATATAGTTAATAATACGCCTGTACTATGTAAGAGTCAAGATTCCAGGGACACAGGATACTTCACTAAAGCAAAGCTTACAAATCGTTGTGAGAGCTGTTGAGAAGGCGCTTGCTCCCCCCCCCCCCCCCCCCCCCCCCCCCCCCCCGCCCCGGGCCCCGGGGGCCTCGGGGGGGGGGGGGCCCCCCCCCCCCCCCCCCCCCCCAGCTTCGTGCCCTGAGCTGGAGCCCTGTGGTCCTGTGGTGGAGGGAGCGAACCAGCCCTGCATGCTGTCCTCTGATCTCCATCAGGACATGTGTGTACCCCGATATGTACACACATAATTAATTTTAAATTTTAAATTTCCATCTTTTAACTTCTCTGTGTGTAGCCCTGATCACGCTGACCTTGAACTGACAGAGATCTGCCCTGCCTCTGCCTCCCAAGTGCTGGGATTAAAGTCATGCGCCACCACGCCCGTCTGTAACTCCCTTTTCTAACTTCTATGGGCAACAGGTGAGCGCGCGGTGCACAAACACGTGTGGAGAAAGCATCCCTACCCATAATAAATAAACACAAAAATATACTTGGGGTTCATAACGTGGCTCTGAGAGTAAAAGCACTTGTTACCATGTTGGATGACCTGAATTCGAGTCCCACGACACGCTTGGTGGAGGGAGAGAACTGACTTCTTCAAGTTGTCCTCTGATCTCCACACAGGCACAGCATGGCATACATAAACTCTCACATACACACAATACAAGTAAATAAATGTCATAAATTAAAAAAAAAATTCTTTACCATGTTGATCAAATTAGACAAGTGGCTTAACTGTGATCTTCTTTGGGGTATTTAAGTTAGAAAAGATATAGGGTTAAATACATATGCAAATGGCAGATATTCCCTTAAAACAACTTAATTATTTAAGCTGTGATAGGAAAAGAGATTTTAAAAAGCTTAGGTATTAATGCTGGGTGTGGTGGCAATGCTTATTAATCCCAGCACTTAGGAAGCAGAGACGATCAAGGCTGTGTGTATTCCCGGCCAGCCTTATCTATATGGAGAGTTTATTTTCTTGTTTCAAGAAAATAAAATAAGAGCCAGGCAGTGGTGGTGCATGCCTTTAGTCTTAGCACCTTTAATCCCAGCACTTGGGAGGCCTAGGCAGCTGCCCTCTGTTAGTTCGAGGAGAGCCTGGTCTACAGAGTGAGTTCCAGGACAGCCAAGGCTTCACAGAGAAACCCTGTCTCCAAAAACAACAACAAAATAAAATCAGGTTCTGTTTTAAAAATACATAGGCACATTAATTACTAGATGCCTTGAGTATGCCTAAAAACAACTGCTGTACTAAAGGCCGAGGCAGAAAAAGGGATTCCAGATGTTAGCATATAACACTGTAGGTAACAAAGACTTAAAAAATGCTTTTGACGTATTTTAGGGGCTGGGCACCTTTGCTCTCAGGGCTTAGGAGGCATAGACACGTGGATCTTTGGGAGTTCAGGGTCAACTGGTCTATGTAACAAGTTCTAGAACAGCCAGGGGTACATAGAGGTCTTGTCTCAAAAAAAAAAAAAAGAAGAAGAAATACTTTGAAAGTGTAGTGCACATTAACTAGATTGTCTAAACTCCTTAGATAAGAACTTCATATAAACACTAGCATAATAATAAAAAATCCACAATGGAACTTTATGAATTCCATAACAAGTCCACAAAATGTGCGTGTTCATATTCTTTTTTAAAAAATCTTATTTATTTAGTGTTTTAATTTTAGGAAATGGATCTCACTATGTAGCCTTGGCTGGCTTGGAACTCGCTATGTAGGTGAGGCTGGCCTCGAACTCACAAAAACCTGCTTGCCTCTGTCTCTCAGGTTTATATCCTTACAGATTACTTTTAATTATGTGTAGGTGTGTGTGAGAGAGAGAATGTGGGTATGTACACTTGAGTGCTGGTGCCCAAGGAGGACAGAGGCGTTACAACCTTGGAGCCGGGATTGCAGATGGTTGTGAGATGCTTACCATGGGTGCCAGGAACTGAATTTAGGTCCTTCAGAAGAGCAGCAGGTACCACCTCCCCATCCCCGGTGCTCACATTCTTTGTTTGAGACAGGGGTTCTCTGTGTAGCTCTGGTTGTCCTGGACTTGATTTGTAGACCAGGCTGACCTTGAACTCACAGAGATCCGCCTGCCTCTGCCTCCTTTAGTGCTGGAATTAAAGGCGCTGTGCCACCATGACCAGCTCAGTGCTCACATTCTTAAAAAGAAATACCGAGGATCATTTGGTTGTATGATGTACAGAGATGGGGTCTGTCAGAATTAAACATTATGGCTCCACATGAACCTTCAAATTGATACCGGCCTAGCTTTCTCACGGGGCATCCCACAGGAGTAAGGACATGCTGCCAGAATACTAAACAGCATCTAGGAAACTTTTGTGTGCTAGGGGCCATGGCAAGTGCAAGCTTTAAATTAAGCCAAAAATACTGCAAATGT